GTAAAGGACTGGAGCAACTCAGAATCAACCAGAGTATCTGCCAGGAGTATAAGTATGTCCCAGTGCCATGCCCTTCTGGGCCAGTTCAGTGCAATGCTAATCACTGGGATAATCTCCATCTTGATAATCTGAAGCAGACGAGGGAGAAGCTTTTGAATGGGGGAATGGCATAGATCAGGCTGGACTGAATCCATAGAGTCACCAAAGCCTCCATTACAAAGACCTGAGGGATGCCTTGACCTGGCGATAAAACTTTGTCCAGTATGTTGTTGACTCTGGAAGCGGGAAGGTCTAAGTTCAGTGTTGAAGACTAGGTCCAGAAACTCCAAGCATTAAAGTTGGATTCAGTACTAATTTCTTGAAATGTGGGATCTATTTGAATCTGTTTACAGTCTGTATCATCCGCTGGACCTTGATTGACAGTATATAGAATGACTGTTCCTTCAGTAGAAGTTCAGATGTTACAACTATGCGAATACCCTGAGAATGAAGCACAGCTAGGGCAGGAGCAAACACCTTGGTAAAGACATGAAATACCATGGAAAGGTAAACATACAGCCCCTACTACATCCAAGCAAAGGAAAACTTCCTGAGTATGTACTAGAACAGGACAGAGATAAGATGGAACAAAGTCCTAGTGAAGGTGAAAAAAAGAAGAAAAAAGAGAAAATTAAAAAACAGGCTATGACCTTGTCCTTTATATAAAAAAAAAAAAAAAAAAAAAAGAAGAAAGAAGAAGAAGAAGAAGAAGAAGGCAATTACGCAAAGGCTAGCCAGGGAAAAATACCTATCAAAATTCTGGGGTTTTCCAAAAGAACTGACAGAAACCAAACTGGGACCCCCACAAAATCACTTAGAAAAATACAGAAAGAAATAATGCAAGCAACCCACTGTACAAAGACCCCCCTACCAAAGAGTGAGGGGAAGCAACTTCAGAAATTAACCGCTAAGGCCATGCATGATCCTCAAGACCCGAGGCTGTTTCAGACTAAACTAGAAAAGCCAGGTTTCTTCCCACAGGGTAAAGTCTGGGAAGGAAGCAAGCCAAGAAGCATCGAAAAGTGAAGAGAGCCATTAATAGATGTAATTTCTATAGCCTTGAGAGCATAGATCAGGATAAAAGAAACTCTGGGATTCATCAGAACATCCACTGCGAAAGCTAAGGGATCCCTTGGACTGGAGAAAATCCAGCGCACTTTGTGACTGAACCTGGAAGTTGGGAGAACACAATCTCAACTGTAATAGAGGTTCTAAACACCAGTTTGAGGACCAGTCTCTGGAATACAGACATTGAAGTCCATCCTCCAAGTTTCTATACCAGGGATGAGTACACTTGTCAGAGCTGGAGTGGGAATTACCACACAGGTCAGAAGCAGATCTTCTTCCCTGTAACTTAATAGGAATCAGATTATCTCTAGATGGTGGATACAAGCCACTTCTGTATTACAGTCCAAAGGAATCTGCAGATGGGGGATCTAGCTTTAAAAGGGGCAACCAAAATATGCTTAATTCTGGAGCATTGATCAGCACATCAATTTTCTTCAACAACCATGTCCTTTATAGCAAGTGGGTACCTAGGACTCCATCCGAGCCTGTTAGGCAGACGACTGTTAACACCTACCCAACCAGAGGAATATTTTTTTTTATTTTTTTAAAGTCCAGTATCGAACACCAGGACAAACCTGGTCCTGACAGATAGATAAATAGGACTATCCAGAGACTGCACCCTCACATTCCATGGTGCCAGAATAATGAAGGCCAATGGTCTGAAATGAGAACAAGGATCCGACTACATCAGAGGATCCCCAATAATACCAAGACCCTTATGCCGAACGCCAAGGTAAGTTAGCTCCTGGACACTGGGAGTAAGGAACCTGGGTCTTTTTCAGGGGGAAAAAAAAAAACTCAACAGGGTTGAGACTAGGATCAGGCTCAGATACCTCCAATCAATGAGAGGGTTCCAGCAATGAGTTCTAAAGGTTTAGGTATCTCCCTGATCTGTCAAAGCAGAGCACAATCAGGATCTAGTTCCTTGGAAAGACCTAAGGTGCAGTGAACAGGCCCAAGGAAGGGTCACAAATACAGTAATAAAAGGCAGCAAGTTTCCAGCAAGAAAAAAAAAAAAAAAAAAAAAAGTTGGAACCATAGGAGCACTGGGAAAATGGGGACATGCAGTAGGCATTCTGTGAGTTCCTCACCGGTTGGAAGCACTGACCGACCTGTCAGTTGCAATGCAGAACAGTTTACCCGATGGAAGGTTAGATGCCCACTCTACCAATATCCCAGGGAAAAGTAGCTGTGTACACGACCAAGGTACCTGAGGCTGTTCCACAATAGCGTGCGAGTCAGCAACAACTAATTGCATATAAGCAAGATGAACAGAACGAGACAGTGGTGGGTGGAAAAGCAGATATTCGTTACCCCTAAGGATAAGAAGGCGTTACATCCCCTAATTGGTTCATTAAGCATATGCAGAGAAAAATCACTGGACCACAGTCCATGGACTTTATGGGCACCACACCAAATTTTTCATAAAAAAAGTATACAATCTTTATTTAGGCACACTTAAAAACAACATTAAAACCTAATTAAAATACAACACAAAGTAACATCTTGTACCATTATGTCGATTAGGGTGGTAGCCCCACACTATAGAGAAGGTTCGCAGTACCATAGTTACAGGTATATAGGTACAGTGGGGCAAAAAAGTATTTAGTCAGCCTCCAATTGTGCAAGTTTTCCCACTTAAAAAGATGAGAGAGGCCTGTAATTGGCATCATAGCTAGACCTCAACTATGAGAGACAAAATGAGAAAAAAAATCCAGACAATCACATTGGCTGATTTGGAAAGAATTTATTTGCAAATTATGGTGGAAAATAAGTATTTGGTCACCTACAAGCAAGCAAGATTTCTGGCTCTCATAGACCTGTACCTTCTTCTTTAAGAGGCTCCTCTGTCCTGCACTCATTACCTGTATCAATGGCACCTGTTTGAACTTGTTATCAGTATAAAAGATACCTGTCCACAACCTCAAACAGTCACACTCCAAACTCCCCTATGGTGAAGACCAAAGAGCTGTCGAAGGACACCAGAAACAAAATTGTAGACCTGCACCAGGCTGGGAAAACTGAATCTGCAATAGGCAAGCAGCTTGGTGTGAACAAATCAACTGTGGGAGCAATAATTAGAAAATGGAAGACATACAAGACCACTGATAATCTCCCTCGATTTGGGGCTCTACCCAAGATCTCACCCTGTGGGGTCAAAATGATCACAAGAACGGTGAGCAAAAATCCCAGGACCACACAGGGAGACATAGTGAATGACCTGCAGAGAGCTGGGACCAACGTAACAAAGGCTATCATCAGTAACACACTACGCCGCCAGGGACTCAGATCCTGCAGTGCCAGACGTGTCCCCCTGCTTAAGCCAGTACATGTCCGGGCCTGTCTGAAGTTTGCTAGAGAGCATTTGGATGATCCAGAAGAGGATTGGGAGAATGTCATATGGTCAGATGAAACCAAAATAGAACTGTTTGGTAGAAACACAACTCGCCGTGTTTGGAGGAGAGAATGCTGAGTTGCATCCAAAGAACACCATACCTACTGTGAAGCATGGGGGTGGCAACATCATGCTTTGGGGCTGTTTCTCCACAAAGGGACCAGGACGACTGATCCATGTACAGGACAGAATGAATGGGGCCATATATCGTGAGATTTTGAGTGCAAACATCCTTCCATCAGCAAGGGCATTGAAGATTAAACGAGTCTTCCAACATGACAATGAACCCAAACATGCCGCCCGGGCAATGAAGGAGTGGCTTCGTAAGAAGCATTTCAAGGTCCTGGAGTGGCCTAGCCAGTCTCCAGATCTCAACCCCATAGAAAACCTTTGGAGGGAGTTGAAAGTCTGTGTTGCCCAGCGACAGCCCCAAAACATCACTGCTCTAGAGGAGATCTGCATGGAGGAATGGGCCAACATACCAGCAATAGTGTGTGCCAACCTTGTGAAGACTTACAGGAAACGTTTGACCTCTGTCATTGCCAACAAAGGATATATAACAAAGTATTGAGATGAATTTTTGATATTGACCAAATACTTATTTTCCACCATAATTGCAAATAAATTCTTTCCAAATCAGCCAATGTGATTGTCTGGATTTTTTTTCTCATATTGTCTCTCATAGTTGAGGTCTACCTATGATGCCAATTACAGGCCTCTCTCATCTTTTTAAGTGGGAGAACTTGCACAATTGGTGGCTGACTAAATACTTTTTTGTCCCACTGTATATATTAATCATCCTCCAGTTGGCATATATAAAATGGGGTGCCACCATCCATATACGTGTTTTGTGTAGCTATTCTGCTTCTTCAGAAGGTGCATATGCACAGTAAACCAGGACCTACACAGCGCTATGATTGCCTCTAGTGGTTAGCTGGCAAATGAACGTGAGTAAAAATGACTTCAAGTAGGCAAATAAAAATGTGTGCTTAAAGCGATGCTGATGCCCATGGCTGCAACGCATATTTATTCTGGTGCAGTCAGCAATTCATTAGACCCCATGAGAATGGAACACAGCACACTGGGCCAAGGGAAGAGCTGTAGCCTGGACTTACAACAACAGCAGGTGATATTATTCCAGGAGCAAGAGGTTAGGGACAAGCCTTATTCTGGCTGCAGCCTCCTCGATGGGCATAATCCCAAAAGGGTCTTTAAGGCTGCTGGCAGACCATGGACCTGGACCTGTATAGCACCCTGCACCAACATGAAGGCTTGGCTTGCTGGGATTAGGAGGGGTTTTACAGATGTCCCTGCAGCTTTCTTTTTTGCTAGTGTCCAGTTACTTGAAGGTATCTGTATATAAACCAGGGTTAAAGACTTAAGATCTGATGTTCTAAAAACTATACAACTAAGAAATAAATTTGTATTAGTACGTTTCTTCTTTATAACAGGAATGCATGTACATGTACAAGACAACCAAAATAGGAGAGATAAGTACTTGTACAACTTCTTCCACAGAACTCCAGGTATTTGAAAACCTTCATCAAACTCCACATCACTGTCCTCTGACTCATCAGCTGTTATACGCTGCTCTGCCTCTTTAGATAGCTGCTTTTGCCACTGTCTGAAAAGAAAACGTAAACGAAATAAGAAGAAATCGGGACTCCCTCAAACAAAATCCATTGCATACACATTAAAGGTTGACTTACCGAAGTCGATGCTTGTAGTACTTGAAATTTCCATCATCTCTACACCGTCTATCCTTTCCCCTGTTGGTCTCTTCTTCATCAGAACTTGGAAGAAACTCTGGATCTAAAACTGGATGCGGAAGTCTTTTGGTAATTGCTTTCCGAGGCAGAGGTTTCAACTCGTAATCAGAGCCTGGGCTATCCTGCACCCATTCCTCATCATCCTCATCAAAGCTCTCCTCTTTAATCGCAGATGTGCAAACAGATCCCTCACTATCATCTCCTTGGCTATCTCCTTCAGGGATATAACGTTTTTTACGCAGAACTCCTGTCCTGAATTGAGTCTGAAAAGCTTTTTTCTGCAATTTCCTAATCTTCTTTTTCAATCTCTTCTCAGCATTTGGAATGCTAATATGTTTATTTGCTTTATTTACTTTTGTGGGGTCTTCTTGTACTACTGGTTTCTTTTTCTCTTTTTTGGGAGTAAATTTACGTTTTCTATGAGCCGCCATCTGTGCTTGATCAGCAAGGTACTTTTCAAAGTCTGAAGCCTCATTGAGCATCAGGCGTCTTGGTTTGCGATCTTCTTTTGGGATAACTTTTGTGCCAAATGGGGTCATCTGTCCAGTACGGATAAGATCTTCCCACTCGCTATCTTGGCAAGGCATCAACATACTACCCAATGAGGTGGTCAACACATCTGGGAAGTAAATATAAAAAGGTGAACACAAGATAGAGGAATAAAAATTAAACCATAAAAGACAACCACAAGAAAACATCAAATAAAAAAAAGCTTGATTATTTAAACTAATTATCAGTGTGACAAGACTAAACCCAGACTGGCAAAAAGGTCAAGTATGACAGCTGGTGGCCTCACAAATGAATTAGCAGTCAAATTCACAAAAATTAATATTTCATTTTTTTTTGTGCAACAATTTATTCTAAATTATTTTTCTTACTCTAAAAGTAAATCCAAAATAATGGCTTTCCCTTTTTTTCTGACACCAAGATGTCTTTTCAAAGCCCCTGTAGTGTAAAAGAAAAAAATGGTTTTGCTTAGCCACAGATGGAGATGTCTATAAGAAAATCACCTTCTGTATCGCCTAAACTATCTTGCTCTACATCCATCTCCTCTTGATTCTCTCCCAACACGGCAGCCAGGCGTCTCTGTTTAGCTTTAATCTTCTTCAGTTGCTGATCCTGAAAAATAAAAACAAACACACTCATTATTCAGGTGTTGCGATTTGATGTGTTAGCGCAACCCTATCACCAGACCATTTATTTCTGCAATAATTGTCCCAAAAGATTATATTTGCATTTAAAGTGCATTTTCACTTTTGCAGTTAAGTTTGGGAATCCAAATTTTATTTAAAAATTGTAGGCATGTTTTTACCTGTAAAAGCTTCCCTTGTGTAGACATCCAAACGCCCTAAATGTTTCTGGGTACCGCAATCTTGGATGTGGTAGCAGCAGCCCCAGCAGACTCTGTTTATTTTTACCAACATGCAGTGCAGACTGAAGCCCAAGTCAGGTTACACTGCAGATAAGCAGAGATGCTTTATACATTAAAACAAACCTGGTACCACCCCATCTCACTCACTAAGTATTGCTAAGGACCATTGATGGAACATACAGTCTAACTGGCCAACAGTGAGGCTTACAAGGTAGGTGCAGGGGATCTGGGCACTATTAGCTCAGGAAGCATCTTCATATTACAACACAGATGTATGAATAACCTCGTAATAATTATAAATACAGTTATATATTCTGCCTTAGAAGGGAAGTCTAATTGTTTTTGATCAATTAAAGTTATATTACTTTAAAATGATTTTTTTTTTAAATTATGTATATTAAAAAAATGTTTAAAATCAGGGCGTACATATGGTGTGAAATTCGTAAAACATTATGGAAATAACACAGCTGAGGCTGTATGGCTTAGGATATTCGCTCTCCAATGGATATGGGTATGCCCATTCTAAACAAACTATATTACTAAATCCCTGTGCCAAAGAATCATCTATTTGCACGTGTGTGATACCCCTGCTGCTGATCGAATACCCGTGTACTCAACACAGAATGCCTCAGTTGAAATAAGAAAGAGCATGAGCTCAGGGTATCAACCTCATGACAAAAATACAATCTAAAATATATATGATACCAAAAAAAAAAAAAGAAAGAAAAAATAAGCAAAATAAATCCGAATATCAAAAATATTTACTGTTGCAAGTGTTCATAAAAGCTCACAATTAGTGGCTTAAAAAAAAGTGGCAATAAAGTGACCAATTCAAATCCTTCTGAAGTGAATCACTCTGCTCCACACACTCCATGCAGGATAGCGCCACTCATCATACTCTTCAGTACGATGATTGGCGCTATCCTCATCGAATGTCTCCCCCATACACACTGAAACTCACCAGATGTCAAGACACAGGAGAATAAATGGGTTTAATAGCACTTGTTTCTATCAACCAGGACCATCTGCCCCACCTGTCATTGCTCCCAGATGTACACAGTGGCCAGCTCATGAAATGGATAAAGAACCATAGACCAGGATCATTGCGCAACTAGTTTATGAAAATCTGTTACCTTGTGTCCACAAATATGTTTAAAATAATACTCACATATTTCGATGCCTGAACTGGCAACCCACAAATTCCATCAATGTAATGTTAGTGAGCAGGCCGCCACTTGTCTGACATCTGGAAGCGGCATGGATTCCACCGGCTGGAAATTACATTATTGCAAGTCATTAATGTGGCTACATAACCCCACCTCAACCTGTTTCACTGTCATCAGCGTCTTCAGGAAGCTGGGGTATTTGTGGCAATCCCTAGCTTCCTGAAGATGCCAGGTGAAACGCGTTCAGGCAGGGTTAAGTGGGTGCCGGCTCAGGCTCCAGAATTTGTAAGGGTTATTTTAACCTTCTTTGTGAATAGGAGATGAGAGCTTTTAATAAACTGGTTGCACAATGATCCTGCTTTGTGGTGCTCTATCTTTTTCATAAGCTAGCCATTATGTACATCCGGAAGAAGTGACAGCCTGGGGGATGACACCACTTTCTCTGTTGCAGTTAAAGTAACGATAAAGCAAGAGTTCTCATATGCTGTTTCAACTGCTGCTGTGAAGACTTACAATGCCCCTTGAGCACTGCCACAGTTTTCTGGAGGCTCATTTCCTTTCCTATTGCATGCACACTTCCAGCTGGGGCTAGAGCTCAATGTCTGTACACTCTGTGCATCAGCACAAACAGTCTAGGATAGCAAGCCACTCCTCTGTGCTTTCATCCTCCTGCCTCCGAATTAAGCAAATTAACAGTACTGGGGACTGCACTGCTCCTCGCTTGTGCAGTGCTTAGTTCAGTATGAGTGCTCCCCAAGCAGAAGTTCTGGAAAGTGGTACTGAAACAGCTGCAGCCGGGGAGTTTGTAAACTAAAAACTGTAAATGTTTGGGCCAAAATATTCAAATAAACCTTACTGGGAAATGCTAGTGGGCTTGTTCATATACAATCACTGAGAACTTAAAAAAAAAATTCCAGGCATCAGCATTTTACACAGGAAGAAGAAATAGAGTGCGCTCTGGTAGAATGGGTCATAGAAGAAAAAGGACTTGTTTTGTCTACGGCCCTATTAGCTTCCGAAATAGCCTTTTTGAACCAGTGAGCAATAGTATTTTTAGATGCCCAACATCTTTTCTTACTACCGGAGTGCAAAATGAAAAGGGTATCTGTCTTTCTAATGCTCTCTGTTAGTTCTAAATATTTTAATACATAAGCTCTCACATCAAGGAGATGGAATTATTCTACTTAACTGTTACATAGTTAGTCAAATTGAAAAAAATTACATTATTCCATCCAGTTCAACTAAAGGACTAGAAAAGGGACAGACAGGACAAAATGGTGAAAAAGAATACCTTAGGTAGGAAACCAGGATTAGTACATAAAACTAAACTGTCAACAAAAATATGGTGAAATAGATCAATTATGGACAGGGCTTGTAATTCACCTAGTCACTAAATGGGCTCTATTTAAGATAGGCATCCTAGGGAATAGATCTAGAACCAGGGAAATCTTGATCAAACCTGGAAGAACAATTGAAAGATCCCAGAGAAACACTTAGATGATGAGGCTCTGTTCCAATCTCCTCCCTAATGGGACAGATGAGTCATTGAAATTTGCTGGCTTGTCAAGGAGGGAAAAATAGAAATAATCCCTGTGTGCCTTTCTCCTCCGCTTTCTTTTAACGAGTTTCTTGGGACCCGGAGAATGGGCCATTTGGCCATGAATTACAAAAATGCATTTGCCAGCACCATTTTCTTCTTGAATGGACAGGCCTATTTTCTTGTCCTCTGTATGGTCTATGAAGGTTTTAAAGGTCAGGCCCAAACAAAGTCTTCAGCAAAAGGTATTCCGCATAGGCAACATTTAGATGCTGGATCTCCTGACCAACACATTACCAAAACGCTGTGCAGGAAGCTGAATCAAGACAACTGATTCACATGTTTGACCGATTCGGGAGAGGCATGTGCCATATATCCTGCTGGTTTGAATAAAAAAGGGAAACAGTTTCAGGATTGGCTGCCTGGGGGTACCCATCTCTAGATGCGACTGCACTTGGGAAAGCCAAAATTCCAGATTTCGCTGAACAAACATGGTTGTCGTTGCTAGCTTTAGATTGGTAACCCTAAATCCCAAGGCCGATTAAAGAATATGCAAGTCCAACATTTAATATATGTGTATACTGTACCATGTACTTGTATGAAAAAGTACAGTATGCTTTTCTATTTGTATTGCTTCCAATGTGTGAAATATCTGGTGTTCCTGCCAGTCCCTCTGCTTTCCTATTAAAAATTACCACACTAAGCACGGGAACACAGTGATCAATTCTCTAGCCATGAGGATCAGCAGAGCTGGGGGTACTACTGAGCAGGGGATTTGCTGAACGAAGATACTAATAAGCTGAGGATCTGCTGAGTGGGGGCACTATTGAGCCAGGGTTCTACTGGGCCCCTTTAAAACAAGAAAATTAACATACACGCAGGGTGTTTTCCAAGGTTCAATAAAGCTTCAAATAAGCATCAAAAACACATCAAAAAAGAATGTTGACGCAGTAGCTGCTTTACACCCCGGTCACATCAAAGCCGATTTTGAAATCGTGCGACTTACAGAGAAGTCACACGATTTCAAAGTCGGGTGACTTGCCGATTTGAGGTGCAATTTGCAAGACATCTGACACAGATGTCTATGCAAATCGCACCAAAAGTAGTGCATGCACTACTTTAGAAATCGGTGCAGCTCCGACCAAGTCGGATATTCCCTGGATCAACTTATAAATGTTATATCCAGTTATATTCTGTGTATCTAAGAAAGAGTCCAGACCTTTTTTAAAGAAATCCACTGAGCTGGCCAGAACCAACTTTTGAGGGAGTCTATGCCCCATTTTCACAGCTCTTCCTGTGAAGAAACCTTTCCGTGTTTGGAGATTAAATTTCTTTTCCTCCAGACGTAAAGAGTGCCCCCTTGTCCTCTGTGATGACCTCAAGGTGAATAACTCTACGCCGAGTTCACTATATGAAACACTGATGTATTTATACATGTTGTTCATATCCCCCATTAATCTCCTCTTCTCAAGAGAGAATAAATACAGTTCCTCTAATCTTTCCTCATAGCTGAGCTCCTCCATGCCTCTTATCAGTTTGGTTGCCCTTCTCTGTATTTTCTCCAGTTCCCGAATGTTCTTTTTGTGAATAGGTGCCCAAAACTGAACTGCATATTCCAGAGGAGGTCCTACTGATGATTTGTACAGGGGTAGAATGATCTCTATCTCTCTGGAGTCTATACCTCTTTTAATACAAGAGAGGATTTTGCTCTCTTTAGAAACCGCAGCTTGGCATTGCATGTCATTATTAAGCTTGTGATCTTCCAGAACTCCCAGATCCTTCTCCACCATTGATTCCCCCAGTTTTACGCCCCCTAATATGTATAATGCATGAATATTCTTAGCCCCCAAGTGCATAACCTTACATTTATCAACATTAAACCTCATTTGCCACAAAGTTGCCCAATTAATCAGTGCATTGAGGTCGGCTTGTAAGTTGAAGACATCCTCTAAGGACGTTATTCCACTGCACAGCTTGGTGTCATCTGCAAAGACTGAAATATTTTTAATCCCAGACCCTATATTGTTTATAACATCAAAAGTAAGGGTTCCAACACTGAACCTTGGGGTACACCACTGACAACCCTAGACCATTCAGAGTATGAATCATTACTCACTAGTCTTTGAATACGATCTTTTAGCCAGTTTTCTATCCATTTACATACGGATTTTCCCAAGTCCGTAGACTTTACCTTACACATTAGCCATGAGTGGGGAACTGTGTCAAATTGATTCCAATTACAGGGCCTCAAAAGAGTCCTGTATTGTTATTTTTCGTCACTACCTCCCCAAGCCAGGAGTGGGTAAATTTGCGCGCCGGCTGCCTTCCTTGGATGGGGTAGCCATTTCTCAGGCTCCCTCTCCGGAATCAAACCCTGATTCTCCGTTACCTGTGGTCACCATGGTAGGCACATAAAGTACCATCGAAAATTGACAGGGCAGACATCCTAATGTATCGTTGTCGTCATAGGGATGTGCGATCAGCCCGAGGTCATCTAGAGTCACCAAAGCGGCCAGGGCCCTAGGCCCCCAGATGGGTTTTGGTCTGATAAATGCACGCATCCCTGGGGGTCAGCGCTCGTCGGCGTGTATTAGCTCTAGAATTACCACAGTTATCCAAGTAACAGATATAGAGATCAAAGGAACCATAACTGATTTAATGAGCCAGTCGCTCTAATAGCGGACAATAGGGTACGACTTGGCATACGTTTTGCAAGTTGCATGGCATGCACATCGCATGCCAAGTCGCACCCGATGTGACCGGGGTGTTTTTTTTTTTTTTTTCCCCATAATGTCTATTAAAGAACTCGGAGCATACAGCGGGTACAAGCATCACATGAGAGCAGAAATGCACACAGTATATGACAAAGTATATGCAACAGATAGTGTATTACGGAACATTATCAGAACATTATAAATGATAAAAGGTAGAGGAAGGCACAACTGGTCTCAGTTCCCCAAGCAGCTTATTGGAGTCGCAACACTGGCAGAAGTATTGATCTGAAGCATCGGTTACCTTATCAAGGCCAATGAAGGGGCAGAAGTGTAGGAAAAGCATAATGGCAGTATTTATGGTGATCGCAGGAAGATGCATATAGAGGCAAATAATGCGTATCCCCTTGTGTTATGTTGTAGAGGTTACTCAAAAGTAGTTGTCAGCGTCTATGTGATAGATAAGGGAAAGAAGAGACAGCACGGTTGGAGAACAAATAAATGAAGCGTTCCTGCAGGTAGGCAATGAATCCGAGGATAATGAAGAGGAAAAATTAAAAAAGGCTCTGAATAAGATAGGGAATAAGTAGTGAGAGAGAAGATGAGAGAAAGAGAAAAAAAAAAAAGGGGCGGGAAGTGGAACTAGGGAGGAAGGGGGAGAAAGGGGGAAAGGGAAGAGGGGGGTTAATAGCAGAAAAAGGGAATAATAGGAAGGGGGGAGGGGAAGGTAGGAGGGCGAATAAGGTACCTTCACTGAAAAACTGTCAGAGGAGAATATGTGCATGTACAAAAAGGAGTCCTCAAAAGAAGCTAAAAGGTGAGCGTATGCAGACATAAATCAATATGAATAACGCTCCCGGGACTGAGGGGTAGAAATATCAGTTGTCCCATATACACTTGTCAGGGAACAAGGAGCTAACAGAGCCCTCAGGGTATGTCAGGGCTTGAGAAGTATTCAAAATCAGTCAGTCAGCCATGCCCGACCGGGGTGTTAATGTGTGTTAAGTCAAAGCAAATGTAAATGAGCTTTAATGGTCTGAAGTGTTCCACTTGGAACTGAGGAAAGGGCACCAGACCCGTACACATGGCCAGAATAGGGTTTCTTGGAAAATAAAAAAAATTTGAAAAAATACAGTCGCTAACAGGCTATACAACAATTTCCCTTCCCTCCCACACCCTATACGGTCAAACCGCAAAAAAACGTTTCACAGTAATTTCCCTCCAGTAGGAAAAAGACAAATATAGTGGAATAGGCCTGGGACCAGACTTTTAAAGTTCTTCCTGTTGTGTTTCCTGATTCTGAATCTGCTCTGTCCTTTGCTGTCCTAAACAGATGACAAGTGAAAAAATTAATTTGGAGAGGACTATGGGAGAGATTCTAAAAGGTACTCTGAGTTAAGGATGGCATACTTGAATTGATAATATTCAAGAGTTTACTGTCACTTTAAAGAAACAATTTTGCAGGTGTGAAACCTCCCTTCCCCTAGCCTGCTGACTGGACACTTAAGGAGCAGTGGACAGATATGGTTATTTCTCTATTCACTTTGCTTTGTCCTCATGTCACCCTGTAAGCACATCTGCATGAAGAACCTGACTAGCTCCTAGTACTGCCCCTCTCTCACCCAGCTTGAGTACTATTATACAGGGGATTACAAGGAGGTTGCCAAAATCAAATTCAGGCTCTTTTAAAATAAAATATATTAAAAGGAGAAGTAGGGGCTTATAGCAGGGAATAGCCAGTTATGAGCCAAGTTTGAGTAACAGAAGGACAAAAGTAAATGTACTGCTATTTCAAACAAATATGGCCCAAAAATATTTGACCATATTTCTCTTAAATTATTTATTAATGCATATAGAGCTGCATTTACTAGTGTTTCAGACTGGCCTCCAGTTTTAGTCTGTTTACATACAGATTATACAAGTCCTACCCATTAGGCTACATTTACATTTAGTCATATGAATATTACTTATCTTATTGCGCATGGTTGTTTTTTTTATAGCACAAAAGTTGCTGTGTAATGGCCAGTAAATATTTGCAAAATTGGCCTATTTTTTCCCAATACCAGCATCTGGCATAAGTCTATGTGTATGTCTTCAGACGCAGATTTTTGGATTTTGTGTTACGGATCTGAACACAGCACATTTTTCTGCACCTGTAGGAATGTCTCCACTGAAAAAACAATGCAGCATTCAGATCAGTATATAAAAAAACGCATGTAAATGCATTTTTTATGGCCATGTGAATGAAGCCTTAATCTAGCAGGATTTATGTATAAAAGGTATGACTGGGAACTTGGGCAATCTCTATACTAGGCAAAAAAAGTAAGTTGGTCAGCATAAACTTGAAAGTGCAGTTAAAACACTGTACACAGCAATGCAGTTTTTAAACATTGTATATAATATTAAAATGACAGCTCCATCCAGAGCTAGACTCTGCAACTAGCCAGGTAGCGAAATGCTAAACTGCACCTTTTCAGTTTCCAAGAGTGAAAATATTTTATACAAAAATCATTTTGTAGCAACCTTTGTCTAGCACTACATAATAATGCAAAATTTTTACAAAGAAATGTTCTCCTGTTTTGGTCTTTCAGGATGAAATCACTAGGGTCTGAGCATATATTCAATTTGTTTATGCAAAACAATAAATTAGCAGGTTTCTTTTCTCCTACATGCAGAACAACAAGTTACACATGCATCTCCAATGTACTACATTCAAATCAAATTATCCAAAAGACCATAACTTAAAGAAATGATACCAACTTTATTATGTTTTTGTCGTTTTACAGACTCCAGTTTTCGAGCAATTTCTTTGGAGACTGCAGCTTGTGGAGCAAGCTGTTCAATGATCTTGTCGATTTGGCGCAAGGAGGTGACACAGGAACTGTGAAGAAAAACAAAAAAACTCTGTAAATCTGGATCCGCTTAATCATCAGTTCAAGCTGAACTCCGGGCACATTTTTTCCCCATGCAGTGGGGATGTGCTAGTTTTTTCAAAGGTAGAGGAGAGTGGAGATGTACTTACCTAATTCTCAGATTCTCCCAGCTCAAGACCGTCTAGCATCCCCATGCTTCAGCTTTCTTGAATGATGGACTGTTTCTGATGTCATCACACTCAGAAAAGGCTCCATAAATCTGGAACAGTCCACTGCTGGACCAGGAGGAGCACCGTTTTCCAGAGGATTGAAGGATCAGGTGAGTATATCTTTCTGCTCACCTCTCTACAAAACTAACAGTTGGCCCGTGCAGTGTGAGCACAGCCCCACTGCATGAGGGGAAAAAAATGCCCCGGAGTTCAGTTTTCAAGTTTTACACCCCAAAATCTCTATATGCACCCTGTTCCAAATTATTATGCAAATTATATTTTTCTCATTTACCCAAATAATTGATGTAAATAACAGTCAGCATAATTCTCATTATCAACTATTAAGAGTACAATTCAAATTTTATTGAACAAACCTCCTAATGTTAACAGTATTTTTTTTAAACATAAAAAAACTTACAATGCACTGTTCCAAATTATTACGCACAGTAAGTTTCAAAACACTTTATAGGTTGTAAAGAACTGAAAATTGTCATTTGTTGTGTTTGCAGCATATTTACAGAAATCAAAAGCTATTTCAATCAAACTTTTAACAACGTTTTTAAACATTTTAACAGGTCATGTTACATTTTAACATAGGACCCCTTATTTGATAGCAGCTTCACAAGTCTTGCATCCATTGAACTTGTGAGTTTTTGGACAGTTTCTTCTTGAATTTGTTTGCAAGATGTCAGAATAGCCTCCCAGAGCTGCTGTTTGGATGTAAACTGCCTCCCACCCTCATAGATCTTTTGCTTGAGGATGCTCTGAAGGTTCTCAATAGGATTGAGGTCAGGGGAGGATGGAGGCCACACCATGACTTTCTCTCCTTTTATCCCCATAGCAGCTATTGATGCAGAGATATTCTTTGCAGCATGAGATGGTGCATTGTCATGCATGAAGATGATTTTATTACGGAAAGCCTAGTTCTTCCTTCTGTACCAGGGAAGAAAGTGGTCAGTCAAACTCCACATACTTTGCAGAGGTCATATTTACACCTTCAGGGACCCTAAAGGGGCCGACCAGTTCTGTTCCCATGATTCCGGCTAAAAACATGACTCCACCACCGCCTTGCTGACGTCGCAGCCTTGTTGGAACAGGGTGGCCGTCCACCAACCATCCACTACTACATCCATCTGGACCATCCAGGGTTGCACGGCACTCATCAGTGAACAGGACTGTTTGAAAATTAGTGTTCATGTATTCTTCTGCCCAATGCAGCCGTTTCTGCTTGTGAGCATTGGTTAGTGGTGGCCGAATAGAAGGTTTATGCACAGTTGCAAGACTCTGGAGGACTCTACACCGTGATGTTCGTGGGACTCCAGAGGCACCAGCAGCTTCAAATATCTGTTTGCTGCTATGTAATGGTATTTTAGCAGCTGCTCTCTTGATCCGATGTATGGATCTGGCAGAAATCTTCCTCAATGTGCCTTTATCTGCACGAACCCACCTGTGCTCTGAATCAGCCACAAATCTCTTAATAGTGCGATGATCACGCTTAAGTTTTCGTGAAATATCTAATGTTTTCATACCTCATCCAAGGCATTGAACTATGTCACTCTTTTCGGCAGCAGAGAGATCCTTTTTCTTCCCCATATTGCTTGAAAATGGTGCTCTGCTTAATAATGTGGAGCACCCTCCTTTAGTAGTTTTTCCTTAAATTGGGCTCACCTGCCAATCTAATTATCACAGGTGTCCGAGATTGTTTTCAGCGATCAAAAGAGTCCTGAGACACAATGCCATCCATGAGTTAAACTGAAAAACAAAATATTTAATCTTTGTGACACTTAAATAGAATTTCCATAATAATTTGGAACAGGGTGTATTCTTGTTACTCTAAATTTATGATTTGTAACGGATTGCCCTAAAATACATTTTACTTTTTGAAAATGCTGCTTCCTATTCTTCTATTAAAATAGAAATTGATGAATAACTGCCTCTGCCCTCAGCACTAAAGTCCTCACACAGAAATGTACTGCAGAGGAGGAGAGAGGTTGTGTCTGCCCAGTTCTGTTACTAAGTGCTGATTATGAAGAGCACTGAGTTTACCTCTGGTGCCTGCTGATTCACCAAGTCATACCAAGACACTCCATACATCTACTGTAAAGTGAAAAATGAAAAACTATGAAAACGAGGGCTGTTAGTACAATATCTTTCTGAACGCATATTTATTTCTTTGATTTAACAAGCAGAATTTTAGGCAACTTTAATAAGTCACAATATACAGCAAAACAGAGGACCAGCAGAGCTGGGGGTTACTACTGAGCAGGGGATCAGCAGAGTTTGGATTACTACTGAGCAGGAGATCAGCAGAGCGGGGAGTTACTACTGAGCGGGGGATTACTACTGAGTAGGGGTTCTGCTGAACGAGGGCACTAAGAAACTAGAGATCTGCTGAATGAGGGTACTAATGAGCTGGGGATCTGCTGAGTGTGGGCATTACTGAGCGGGGGCTCTGCTAAGCCCTGTTAAAATAAACAGAAAATCAATACATACACAGGGCATTTGCCAGTCATCACTAAAGCTTCAAAAAAGCACCGCTGTACCATTGGGTGGACAAAGGAGAGATTTCTCTTTACTTTTTGTCTGATAGCCAAAACAGGAAGTGATTGGAGATTCCACTAAAGTGAAGAAATCCCTAGTTGTCACCAGAACTAGTGTCCCCATTGCCGCTATTCCTGTTGTGGTGACAATGCAAAATTTAGGATTTTTTTCCCATAATGGGGGTACAGACAGCAAGGGACTTTAAGGGATAATTTTTAAGATAAGAGGTAGAGGTTTTTATTTTTTTCTTTTTTGTGAGTGGCAATGGGTTAGAACTTGCTAAATTCTGTTAGGTTTTTATTGTTGTTCTCCGTTTCCCCGTTGGAAGATTCTCCTGTCACTGGGACAAGGAGTGAGGGCAAATCTCCTTAATTAGAACTTAAAGCGATTCTAAAGGTTAATTTTTTTTTTTTTTTTTTAAATAAACAGGTTATACTTACCTACTGTTTGCAGTGGTTTTGCAAACAGCAGCTTCGATCCTCCTCTTATCAGGTCTCCCACAGGTTCTCCTGGCCCCTCCCTCTGGTCGGGTGCCCCCACGGCAAGCAGCTTGCTATGGGGGCACCCGCTGCTCCATGTGTCCATTCACACATGGAGCCACGACTTCACACCACTCCCCTCATTGGCTGACTGGTGTGACTGACAGCAGCGGAAGCCATTGGCCATGCAGTCTCAGCCAATGAGGAGGCAGAGAGCTGGGGCAGCTGAGGCTGTCATTCACTTCGCTGGATCGCGATGAGGCTCAGGTAAGTATTGAGGGGGCTGGGGGAGCTACTGCACAAAGAAGGGACATGTAGCTCTGGGTGCAAGGCAGGTAGTTTTTTTTTACCTTTAGCCCTGCTGCGGCCAAGCAGCAGGGCTCACCTGTCAGGTGGTTGTGCTGCCGCTCGATTGCTTTTACAGCCCACTACAGTGCCAGCCTCTGCCTCCCCATGCATGCAAAACTTCCCCCTGCCGACTCTCGGGCTCTGCTTGCCCATCTGAAGGCCCTGTTCATCTGGTGCCAGCGGATAGAGGGGAGGAAGGCGAGTGGACACGTCTACTCCCCTTGTCCTGACCTATGAGGGGCTTTAAAAGCGTCGCTTATAGAAAATAAAGGGTTTGACGCAAATTTAAGGTTTGATATGTTGGATATCGATTTACTCAATGCAACCTCATCTTTTATAATTTATCAAAAAATTGGGTAATATATTGCTTTTTTGTGCCCTAAAATTAACTTAAGTGTATTTTTTCCTGAAAACCTTTGTGGTAATATCATGCGACATAAAAAATTGGAACTACCGCTATTTTATTCTCTAGGGTCTCTGCTTTCAGAAAAATATAAAGTTTAATGGTTTTGTTTAATCTACCGGCCTAAAATGATTTTTTAAACGTGCAAAAAATGCAAAAAGGGCTTTGGCAGTGAAAGGGATAAAATATAAGCCTGACACTCTCCTTTCCTGACGAGCAACCAATCGGTGCTAATTACACTGCTATGTCTCCCTGCTAGTCCCCGGGTGCAGTGCTAGAAACAGGCAGAGAGGTGAGGAGGAGATAAGCAGCCCAATGTTGAAAATATTAACCGTTCTAATCGCTGTAAAGCCGCTTTTGTTTTTAAAAGCCCCAGACATTCCTAAAAGCACCTCAGATTTAAATATTTTATTTAAAACATTTTTTTTTTCTCAGGACAAGTAGATTGGAACACCAATTTAGTCCCTGGACAAGACGTTTTTTCAAAAATTTTCACACCCCTGTATATATACTGGACTTTACACAGCTATATACACTATACAGTAATAGTGGTGATCAGTGACCTATAGTGGGACAGTGATAGTGTGGTGGGCAATCTGGCACTAACAGACACTATCTAGGAGGGTCACTAACTGACACTAATAAGTGATAAAAAAAATTGTACACTGACACTATGCTAATGACACTGGCTGAAAAGGATTTATTAATATCTAGGGGTAATCAATGGGTTAACTGTGTGCCAAACAATATATAATGTGTGTGCTGCTTTTACTTTACTGCCTGGCTGTTTTTTCTCCCTTTGCAGGGATTTCAGGCGTTTGTTTTGAGCATATTTGTGTATATTTGCACACAATATATTCCTAGGCAAAATCCATTAATATTAATGCTCATATGGGCATATTTGTGCGTGTATATGCGTATTTGCGCACACAGGTGCAAATTACTGAACAGGAAAGCATTTTTTTTTTTTCTCAAGAATACACAGCACATGTTTACGCACCTGTGTGTACAGGCACATTGTAAACAATGGGCTGCATTTTAATAAAAACGCTCTACTGACATTTTTCAAGCTGCAGTCTGCAAGAGGCCTATTTAGGCTGCTTTTACACTGATCAGTTATTCTTCCGCATTTGTTGGAAGAAAAAAAATTGTATAATATATGGAATGCTTTACACTGATTTCTTGCAGGTCCAGTACTGTTAGTAAAATCCTGCTTGCTATATTTTTGGTACAGTAAAAAAAAAAAGAACGCACCTAAAATGCACCGCCCCATTGAAATACGTGGAAAATGTCACATGTTCTGTGTACAAAACACAGCAAACGCGGCAAAAACTCATATGCGTCTTTGAGCACATTTTTGCTACAAATCAGTGTGAAAGTAGCCTTACTGTGATGGATAACAGAACAAACTGAAGGTAGGTGACTGGCTACCATGCTAAGGTGCACCAGATTCTGATTGCTCCAGTTTTAGTAGATCTCCCCCATTATCTTTATCTGTACTGGTGACCACTGACAAGACAAAACGTGATGGGAAATCCACAATTGTAGAGTTGTCACCAAAACAAGAGACGAGGGTAAATCCTCCAATTGGGACACCTATTCCAGTGACAACTACCTGAGAGGGGGCATCCGCTCGTTTTAGCCCTGTTCACACCAGTGTGACTTGATATGTAATTTGACAGTTTCAAATCGTATGACAAGTCGCACCCTATTGTTGGCAATGGAACCGTTCAAATCAGTGCGACTCCAACTTCAGCACTGACATGTGACTTTAAAATTGTGTGACTTCAAGTGAAGTTGCACTATTTCAAAGTCGGATCAAGTGTGAAACCAGGCTTACAGGGATTTCCTCTTACTTCCTGTTCTATCACAAAGACAGGAAGAGAAAGGAAATCTTCCTAATGGAGTACAGTCAGCAAAAAAATAAACTGGCAGTTTAACACTATCCAAAAGAAAAAAAAAGAAACATGTTGGCTATACATACATTTTAAAGAAGAACTCAGGGCAAAAATGGCATTCACCCATGTAGTAGGGCTGTGCCCGCACTGCATTGGGTAAATGCTTGGTTTTCTCACCGCTCCTGCCCCCCTGACCGCAAACGGTCTTGTGAATGGGCTGTTTCTAAAGTCATCACGCCCACAGACCAGCTCCAGACGTGAGGATGGCAGGAACAGTCCACCACTGGATATGGGGGAGCATGATTTTCCAGAGAATCGGAGGAAGGGGTAAGTATAGATTTACCCTGAGCCCCTGGACAAAACAAGCATTTAACCCATGCTGTGAGGCTGTGCGCGAGTAGGGCTGCGGTTTGTGAATGCTCCTATAGCCTTCTAGGACCTGTCACATAACCCAGAAGACTACGGGGAGTGAGGAAGGACAACTTCGGCTTCCGATCACCTAGGCCAGGGGTATCCAAACTATGGCCCTCCAGCTGTTGAAGTACTACAAGTCCCATCATGCCTCTGTGAGTCTTGCCTGTCAGGGTCTTCCAAGGCCTCATGGGACCTGCAGTTCCTCAACACCTTGCAGGCCATTGTTTGGAGACCCCTAACCTAGGCAATCACAGTGAAAGTGGGAGCAGGTACCGGTCAATTTCGGGTACCCGCTCCCCAAAAGGTGTCAATCCTTATCAGGGAGTCGGGGACCAGTCTTTAAAGCGGAACTTCCCCTTTTGGGTGGAACTCTGCTTTCACTGGTGTTCTGCTTTAAGCCACGTGTGACCTTCATTAATCTGCTTACCGTAACTCATCCAAAAGATCTTGTTTTTCTTTTTCTGCTTCAGCAATCTGTGCAGCCCGAGAGGCTTCATTAATGGCCTCATCCACTTGCTGGAGGACTCCGCGCTCCAGGACATCCTGATCGTACACCGCCAAGCCCAATCCCTGCAACTCCGAAGCCTGATCAGCTGAGTCCACGGCCTGGATCTGCTTGCGGTCGATATGCAGTAGGCCATGTTGTCTATGAGGTCCCACATCTCCGGGACGGGCAGAGGAAGTATGGGCAGAACTAGAAGACGGTCCAGGAAGTGCCGGGCTGCTCGGGTACTCGGCCGGCTCTGAAGACTGACATTGTTCTTTCACAGGAGGGAGTTCATTTGGCATTCTGTGGTAAAACAAAGACACAGGGAAGGTAAGAACATACAACTCATACTCATCCAAGCTGACACCATTACGGGGCCCAGCATCCCCTATTCCTTACCTCGGGGTATCTCCGTATCACCATCTGATGTAAGAAGACACAACACTACCAGCGGTAGTACGAGACCTGCTAGTCAAAACAACGCGAGAACACAGTGTCCAATTAGGATACAGGCTCTCGGAAAGTGGTTGCTAGAGTTCATAACAGTGAAAATCTATTCTCTATGAGTGTCAGCAACCATGGACTCCGGAGCCATCTTGCAGAAGCCCGGTTAATATTGGACAATGTGTTCTCGCGTTGTTTGAGGTGAAACATGAATCAAGCATGCAGATAGTCATTCATAGGTACTGAACGCGTTCTGCGGATGGGAAAGCTGCTGCTCTAAGGATAGTTACTTTGATGTTTTAGGAAAGCAAGAAGTGGCAGTGTGCAGAGTTTATAGTAGAAGTTTAGGCAGGAAATGACAGTGATTATAAACCTTCACCATGTACAGCAACCCATTGAGATAAAAGTCATATGAAAGTGGAACTAAAGGCAAAACTCTTCTTTTAGTTTTGGACAGAGTAGAGGGAGATTAGAACACCGGCCAGTTTTTATTGCTGTCTCGTCAAGGAGATTTACGCTCTCTGTCCTGTGTAAACATTATTGTGAAAGTAAAAGAAAATCTTAAATTCTGTGTTGTCCCCAGAAAAGTATTATAATGGAAATCTTCCAATGGGGGCGCTAGTTCTGGTGAGCTGGGGTCCCCAAGGAATTCCCTTAATTTGTAGGGATTTCCTCTCACTTCTTGTTTGACTTGTGGGACAGGAAGTGAATGGAAATGTCCAAAATGGGACACAGATGGTGAAAAAAGTTACTGGGTTTGAACCCTCCCTTACTCTATCCAAAATGAAAAAAATGTTTTCCCTATAGTTCTACTTTAACCACTTGCCTAACGGGCACTTTTGCCCACTTACTGCCCAGGGCAATTTTCAGCTTCCAGTGTTGTCACAGTTTGAATGACAATTGTGCAGTCATGCAACACTGTACCCATCTGACATTTTTATAATTTTTTTCACGCAAATAGATAATTCTTTTGGTGGTAGGGGGGGGGGGGGGGTGGGGGGGGGGGGGGGGGGGGGGGGGGGGGGGGGGGGGGGGGGGGGGGGGGGGGGGGGGGGGGGGGGGGGGTGGGGGGGGGGGGGGGGGGGGGGGGGGGGGGGGGGGGGGGGGGGGGGGGGGGGGGGGGGGGGGGGGGGGGGGGGGGGGGGGGGGGGGGGGGGGGTGGGGGGGGGGGGGGTTTTTTTTTGGGGGTGGGGGGGGGGGGGGGGGGGGGGGGTGGGGGGGGGGGGGGGGGGGGGGGGGTGGGGGGGGGGGGGGGGGGGGGGGGGGGGGGGGGGGGGGGGGGGGGGGGGGGGGGGGGGGGGGGGTGTACGCTGGCTGGGTGTTTTATGTTTTGCGCTATAAAAAAAAAAAAAAGAGCAAAAAATTTGGAAAAAAAAAAAAAAATTTTCTTTGTTTCAGTTATAAAATTTTGCAAATAGGTAATTTTTGTCCTTCACTGATGTGCGTTGATGAGGCTGCACTGATAGGCAGCAGAGATATGCAACAATGATGGGCACTGATAGGCGGCACTTCTGGGCACTGGTGGCACTGCTGGGCACAGGTGAGTGGCACTACTAGGCACTGATGGGCACAGGTGGGTAGCATTGCTGGGCACATGTGGGTGGCACTGCTGGGCACTGATCACCAGTGCCCTGATGATCAGTGCCAATCCGTCCTCTGACAATTGCCATTTATCGGCAGTACTTTCCTCACGCTGTGACAGCGTGAGGAAAGTGCAGCCGATAACAAGCAACTTCATTTACCCGGTGAGCTGCAGTGTCATTGGATACAGCTGATCACGTGGCAAAAGGCTACTGTGATTGGCTTTTTACCACATCACGTGATCAGCTGTGTCTGTAGGACACAGCAATCACAGAGATCGCGGGGTGCGTGCCCCTGGGGGCGCGCAGGAGGGCGCATTCTGGGAGGACGTCATATGACACCCTCCCAGAACTTGACAACCGCGCTGTAGCCATCATTCGGCTATAGCATGTTTGGCAAGTGGTTAAAGAAAATATAAAAAAAAAATCATACATACCTGCTGTGTGCAGTGGTTTTGCTCAGGTCCCCACTGCCATTCTGGCCCCTCCCTCCTGCCAAGTGCCCCCACAGCAAGCAGCTTGCTATGGGGGTTCCCAAGCCACTGCCCTGTGAGACATTTGTGACTTAGTCCTGCCTCCTCTTTTCCCTCATTGGCTCACTGGCTGTGATTGACAGCGGGAGCTAATGACTCCTGCTGCTGTCTCAGCTAATGAGGTGGGAAAGTCCCTGGAGAGCCGAGGCTCTTGTGCATATCACTGGATCAAGAGGGATTTCAGGTAAGTATTGAGGGTGGGGGGGCTGCTGCACACAGGTTTTTTCTTACCATAGAAGGCATGCAGGTAAAAAAAAAAAACATTGAGCCTTTACAACCTCTTTAAAATGGAAATGAAAGGCAAAGCATTTGTGTATAGATTTTTTTTCTGTTTTATAAGTGATCACAGTCCCTCTAAGCTTCTTATGTAGCTGAGAACAGAGAGCTGGGGAAGGAGAAACATGAGAACACTGATCTTCCCAGTGAATGGCTGTGCAGAGGAGGCTTGTGAACAGAGGTCTGATCTTTGGAGGAGAGCAAGCTGAGTTCCCAGCACAGCTAGAGCACTGACCATACTGTGCTCTCCTGCCTAGTGTAGTCAATTTTTAATAGAACGCAGAGGGACTGGCAGGAACACCAGGGATTTCCAATAAAGGAAGCAATACAAAGAGAACATGATATGTATGATTTTTCATACAAGTACATGGTACAGCAGGCACACATTAGGAACAGGAAATGTTGGGTTTACATAACTGTTAAGTCACGGAAAAACACACTGCAAAAGCAACCCAGGAGCTTTTGAAGGAAAAGAAGTGGAATAATCTGCAATGGCCATGTACAGTGGGGCAAAAAAGTATTTAGTCAGCCACCAATTATGCAAATTCTGCCACTTAAAAAGATGAGAGAGGCCTGTAATTGGCATCATAGGTAGACCTCAAGTATGAGAGACAAAATGAGAAAAAAAAAAACCAAACAATCACATTGGCTGATTTGGAAAGAATTTATTTGCAAATTATGGTGGAAAATAAGTATTTGGTCACCTACAAACAAGCACGATTTCTGGCTCTCACAGACCTGTACCTTCTTCTTTAAGAGGCTCCTCTGTCCTGCACTCATTACCTGTATCAATGGCACCTGCTTGAACTTGTTATCAGTATAAAAGACACCTGTCCACAACCTCAAACAGTCACACTCCAAACTCCACTATGGTGAAGACCAAAGAGCTGTCGAAGGACACCAGAAACAAAATTGTAGACCTGCACCAGGCTGGGAAGACTGAATCTGCAATAGGCAAGCAGCTTGGTGTGAACAAATCAACTGTGGGAGCAATAATTAGAAAATGGAAGACATACAAGACCACTGATAATCTCCCTCGATCTGGGGCTCCACACAAGATCTTACCCTGTGGGGTCAAAATGATCACAAGAACGGTGAGCAAAAATCCCAGGACCATACGGGGGGACCTAGTGAATTACCTGCAGAGAGCTGGGGCCAATGTAACAAAGGCTACCATCAGTAACACACTACGCCGCCAGGGACTCAGATCCTGCAGTGCCAGACGTGTCCCCCTGCTTAAGCCAGTACATGTCCGGGCCCATCTGAAGTTTGCTAGAGAGCATTTGGATGATCCAGAAGAGGATTGGGAGAATGTCATATGGTCAGATGAAACCAAAATAGAACTGTTTGGTAGAAACACAACTCATCCTGTTTGGAGGAGAGAGAATGCTGAGTTGCATCCAAAGAACACAATACCTACTGTGAAGCATGGGGGTGGCAACATCATGCTTTGGGGCTGTTTCTCCACAAAGGGACCAGGACGACTGATCCATGTACAGGACAGAATGAATGGGGCCATGTATCGTGAGATTTTGAGTGCAAACCTCCTTCCATCAGCAAGGGCATTGAAGATTAAACGTGGCTGGGTCTTCCAACATGGCAATGATCCCAAGCATACCGCCCGGGCAACGAAGGAGTGGCTTCTTAAGAAGCATTTCAAGGTCCTGGAGTGGCCTAGCCAGTCTCCAGATCTCAACCCCATAGAAAACCTTTGGAGGGAGTTGAAAGGCCGTGTTGCCCAGCGACAGCCCCAAAACATCACTGCTCTAGAGGAGATCTGCATGGAGGAATGGGCCAACATACCAGCAACAGTGTGTGCCAACCTTGTGAAGATTTACAGGAAACGTTTGACCTCTGTCATTGCCAACAAAGGATATATAACAAAGTATTGAGATGAACTTTTGATATTGACCAAATACTTATTTTCCACCATAATTTGCAAATAAATTCTTTCCAAATCAGCCAATGTGATTGTCTGGATTTTTTTTCTCATTTTGTCTCTCGTAGTTGAGGTCTACCTATGATGCCAATTACAGGCCTCTCTCATCTTTTTAAGTGGGAGAACTTGCACATTTGGTGGCTGACTAAATACTTTTTTGCCCCACTGTAAATCACCTGATCTCAACCCAATTGACCATGCATTTCACTTGCTGAATGCAAAACTAAAGGCAGAAAGACCCACAAACAAAGAACAACTGAAGACAGCTGCACTTAAAGCCTGGCAAAGCATCAGAAAGAAGGAAACCCAGGATAAGGGGAAGGTGGGAGGTGGAGAGAAAATAACTCTCCCAATCTTTGTATAGCGGTTTTACTGGTACCACACCCCTAATGAATTAATTGGAACAAGAACCCTAACCTCAAAAGCTAATGGGGATTTAAAGGTTCCAGTTAATGAAGTAAAAACATGAAAACAGTAGATAAAACTGAAATCCTTTTATTAGGTTAAAAAAACCACCCATCAGTGGAAAA